GGGGTAAGAAGGCTGTTGTCTTGAGCAGGGGCCGCTGAGGGCCTGTTCAGAGCATGGCTCCCAGCAGGAAAACCCCCCCCCTTTCAGAAAGCAAAAGCCCCTCCGTCGCCTACCCGACTTTCTCTCCTTCATTCCCCTGGAAACTTGTTTTGTTGCTTCCTCCTCAGTTTGGCATAAGCAAAGGAGGAAGGGAGCCCAACATGCTTTCAGCCGGGTCACTTGTACTACCAGTTTGAGCTAAACCTCTGAGCATTCACAAAGTGTAAAACCCAACATTCACACAGCAAACTGGGAAATTCTTCTATGGAGACTTGGGTGGAGTCGAGACGGCCAGTGTGGGACAGCAGTGAGAGGCTAAGATCCGGAGACCCTGGCTTGGATCCCCACTGTGCCACGGAAGCGGGGCGGGGGGGTGGCGGTCACACCCAGGGATGTTGTGAGGACAAAATGGAGGGCGGAGGGCCAATGTCAGCTGCTTTGGGTACCAGTCAGGGAGAAAGACCGGACATGAAGTTAAGAAATATCCTCACAGGTCCCTTGTCCAAGGCTGGGCTTGTTCAGGTCACTGAATCAGTGGGGCTGACCAACATGTGACCCAGACCAAGCAGAACCACATGAAGAAATGGGAGAGGAAATGGCCTGGGCCCACACCGGACTGCTTGCTTGCATGCCTGTCAATGGGTGTATTCTGAGCGTAGCCTCATACCGCACGTAAGACTCACCTGCCGGTCAGGCAGACGGATGAAGGTTCAGGACTGACTCTAAAGACGTTGCATTACTGTAGCTGCAAAAACAGCAGCTTTCCTGTTCCTTAAATACAAAGATCTCTCTCTCCTTTTAGCCTTATAACTCTGCTTGGAGAGTCTTTATTGGAGTTATGAAGATGCTTCCTAGTTCAGCTGGTACTACTCATGAGTGAAGGGACCAGCTGTTTTATTTAGAGGACAATTTTGTGTTGGAAAGATTTTGTTCCTGCCCCCTTCTCTATAAAACGTGCTAAGTAAGGAGTCTAGTAGTCAGGCTGCCCGCTGGTGGCTTCCGTTCAAAGGAGACCTTCTGCTGGGTGAGCTTTAGAGTCTACCTGCTGGACTTCCCCTTTGCACAGCATTCTCGGCCTATCAGCTTAAAGCCTGATTTGCCTTAATCTGTGAGAGTTGTAATAATTATGTATTTAGCAAAGCAAAGCTTAAGAAACGTTAGATCTGATTTTTATTGCATTTATTCCAGATTCACAGGATTAGCTTGTACTTGCTTTTCTTTAAGAGCCTGCCTAGTAAAAAGAGCTGTGCTTTGTTTTAAATAAAATAATTAACACTAAGAAGTTTTCTCTTTCTTCTGCTGGCAAACGATCTGGCGTCTGACCAATACTATATGCCTCTGAGAGAGTCTTCTTAGCATCCCTAACTGGAGGATATAACAGCTGCATGCGGCCCAGGGCGGCTTTCACTCTCCAAGAGCTGGATTCAGTGTTGAACTCTAGATTGGGTGCAAATAAATATCTCACCACAAGACGACCGGTGGCCAGTGTTCCCTCTAAGCTGAGTGTGAGCTAGCTCACAATTTTCTAGCCCCCAGCTCACACATTTTTGCCTTGGCTCAGGAAGGATGGGGCTCCAGAGCAAACAAAGCTTTGCAGTGGCCCAATCACTCGTTCACGACTTTAATGCCAGGAGCCCACAAAGCAGGATTTCTGCTCACAAGACGCCATGGCTCAGAGGGGGCCTTGGCGGTGGCCCTGGCTCAGCCCTGCTGCTGGCTCCAACCTCCCCCGCCCCGCCCGGAACCCTCTCCCCGGAAGAGCTGCCGGGGAGTGAGCCGGCCCCTGGACGAACGTGGGCCCATCCCCTTGGCCCCTCTCCTGGCACGCTGAAAGGGCGGCTTCCGGGGGGGGGGGAGGCTGGCCCTGCTCTGAGGAGCTCAGGAGGGGAGGGAGCATCAGGCGTCAAAGGAGGCGGGACCCTGGCCGAGGGGAGCGGCACATCCTCCCCTCCCCTCCAGCCAGCCAGCCCCGCTGCAGAGGAAGGCTCTTCCCGTGAAGCCCAGAGGCCTCTCGGTGCGGTGCCAGAAGCCTCAGGCCATGGCAGCCCAGAGCCCCCCCCCCCCCCGTGTCCAGGCAAAGAGGGCACAGCTGGCACCTGCCGAGGCCAGCTCTGCTCCACCGGTGAGCAGGCCGGAGAGCACGCGCACACACACACACACGCACACAGAGGCCGAGCGAGCGGCCGCGGGAAGAAAAGGACTTTGGGCCCATCAAGTGGCGCAGCTGCGCATGCCTGGGGCATCTCATATCCCCCTGGGGGGAGGGCAGTGTGCTAGGGGCAGCTCCTGGGGAGGGTCCGCCGACTTCCTCTCTCTGCTGGGGGGCTGCTGGGGCCTTACCTTCTGGAGTCCCCCCTCTCTCATTAGCCACCTCCCCACCAGGCCTGGGAGATGTCCCACTCTCCCCACAGGGCTATTCCACAGATCCACCCAGCTGCAGGGATCCCGGTGGGACTGGCTTACCCCTCCTCCACTGCGGGGGACTGCTCCAGGGGAGAGGGCGGCTGGTGCGGGCCGTGGCGGAGGCCTTGGGAGAGTCTGGGCAGGCGCTAGCGTGTGGCCCCTGGCCCTGGAGCATAGCTGAGACCTTTTCCCCGCCTCTCCCTTGGCCAGCTTCCATCGGGCTTGGGCAGAGGCCAGTGGCCAGAGGGGGTGGCTTGCAGGCTCCCCCCCCAGGGGGCTCCTCACACGGGCAGGAGCTCACTGGAACAGAGGTGCCGGCAAAGCGGGGTGAGGGGCACGGGAGGCAGCGTGGGGAATTCATGCGGCACCGCCCGCCTAGTGCCAGCCAGGGACATGCGGCTCAGCACGGCACAAGCAGCAGCAGCAGCAGCAGCAGCAGCAGCAGCAGTGGGCCACGAGCAAGCCAAAGCCAGGACGGTGCAGCCCTCGGGCACGCAAAGGCAGTGCCCAGAAGAGGCACGTAGCAAAGCGGCGGCACAAACTAGGCCAGCTGTGGTCCCCGCAGCTCGGTTGCCTCTGAGGCTCCGGCCAGCAAGACAGCAGGATTTTCCCCTTGGCTGCCCAGGACGGAGGGCTCAGGCGGGAGGAGAACAGAGCTGGCTGGCTGGCTGGCTGGCTGGCGGGGGCCAGTCCCACGAAGCGGCCGGCCAAGAACACCAAGAGCGCTCTGCTTGCCTGGCTTGTCTCCCGCCAGCCCCAGCCCCCTTCCATCCCGCCTGAGGGCTGGCTCCAGAAGCCGCCCCGGCCTCGACTGTCGCTGGCCTCCCACGCCAAGGGCCGCTGGCCCCTCCTTGAGGGGTGCCAGGCCTCCCGCCTCCTGCGCCCCTTGCCAAGCAGAGAGGGTGAGCAGCAGGTGGAACCTCCCACCTCCCCACTCCTGCCGCCTGCCCCAGGTCTCCTTGCTGGCGGGGGCAGCTCAGGAGGGGGCCGGCTGGTGCCGATGGAACGCGCTCTCCAGCAGTGTGGTCAGCTTCTCACAGTCATCCTAGAGGAGAGCAATGGACAGGGTCAGCGAGTGGCTGCAGGCGGGACTGAGGCATGCAGGGCGTCCCCCTTTCTTCCTCCCCGCTGCCCCCCAATTGCCAAGGCCTCCCCAGCCCATCCTGGGGCCGCAGCCCTCTTGGGGAGAAACGGTACCAAGAGCTCAGAAAGGGGGTGCTCATCTCCTAGGCGAAGGGCACCGGACCTCTTCCCCCTCGGGAGAGCAGCGCACCTGTCCCAGCCTCAGCTGGACGCTCCTCCTCCTGCAGCAGGTTCCCACCCCCACCCTGCAACTGTAAGCCCAGACCCGGCCCTACGGCGGCGTGGGGGCCCCTCAGCTGCCCTGGCCTGCCTCCCCGTACACAGAGCCAGACGGAGCACTCACCAGGCGGATGAATCCGTAGTGCACCAACTCAGCGGCCAGGTCCCCGGGGCAGTCGGCTGCAGAGAATCAAAAGGGAGCGGGGGTGGGCCACGGGAGGGGCCGGGGGCCGCGGGGGGGCCTACGCTGATGGACGGCTCCCCTGCTCCCTTCAGGAGCCGAGCCTGCGTGCCTCCGGGTGGAAAGGGTTAGCCAGGCGCTCTTCGGCCTGCTGTCCATCCTGGACAGAGGGCAGAGGTGCCTCCCGGGTGGCCCCAACAGCTGAGCAGCACTGGCCCGACGGGCCAGGGGATGGAGCCGACGCCCCTCTTGGTCTGGACGCCAGCCACCACCCTGGTCACCGCCCGGAGTGCCTCGGAGGCACCCGGGCACTCCTCTCCTTCCCGGGAGGCTGGACCCACACGGGGGGCGCGCTCGGGGGACTCCTGCTCTCCCCCCCCCCCCCGGGGCCGCGGGTCTCAGGGGGGTCCTCCCCCGGGGCTCCTGGCTCACGGGGGTGCCACAAGATGATCTGCCCCGCCCCACCCCACCCCCACGCGCCCGCTAGTTAACATCTACACAGGGAAAGTCCATTCAGAGGTGGTCAGGAGTGAACGGCCTCCTCTCTCTCCTTGGCCTCCAACTCTAGGGAGGCAGTGGAGGTGCGAGAGTGTTGTCTGGAGACAGTGAAGGGCTGGATGGGGAGGAACGAACAGAAACTCAATCCGGACAAGACAGCAGTGTGGCAGGCTGGTGGCATGTCTCACGCACCAATAGGTGCAGACTGTTTTTGGGACGGGCTTGTCCTTCCCCCCCCCAAAAAAGGGGCAGGTGCAGAGTCTAGGGGTACTCCAGACTCCTCCTTGTCCCTGGAGAAACTGAGGCACCAGCTGTGGCCACCCCTGGGGAGACCACAGCCACGCCCTCGGCAGGGAGCGGCCTTGGAAGACACTTGAGAGAATTCAGCCGGGACAGAAGGCGGGGGGCTTGCTGTGACCAACAGAGGTAGCTGGGTTTGGGGCTGGGGTTTGGGACTGTGCCTCGGGGGGGGGGGGCTTGGCACAGGAACCCCCACACACACTTTGTTCAAGCTCAGAAAAGAAACTGAAAAACTTGTGATAAAGTCATTACGGAACAATGAGTGAGGGAAAATTTGAGATACAAGAATTAATGACTATTGCAGAAAACCTCTATAAAAACCTGTATAGAGAAGACCCCCAAGATGAAACACAAATAGAAAGATATCTACAACAGACCATAAACAAGAAATGCAAGGAAGACCATAAGAATATGTTGAACGAGCAAATTACTATCTGTGAAGTAATAGAGGCGATTAAAAGACAAAAGAAAAAGAAATCACCGGGTCCAGATGGTCTACCGGCGGAAATATATCAAGTTTTTGAAGAACAGATTAGTCTGACTTTTAAAGATTTACTTCAAAAAATAGGTCATACCGGGAATATGCCCAGCTCTGATCACACTAATTCATAAACTGAATACGGAGGGAAGAGATATTAAGAACTATAGACCAATATCTTTACTGAATGTAGACTACAAAATATTTGCAAACATTTTAGCGGCTAGAATGAAAAAAGTCTTAATGAAAATAATACACCAAGACCAAGCAGGATTTCTACCCAAACGACAAATTAAAAAGAATATACGGCCAATCATAACTGTGTTAGAGTTCTTTGAAGCACATCCGGAAAAACAGCTGGCCTTAATGTTTTTGGATGCTGAAAAGGCCTTTGATAATTTATCTTGGAAGTTTTTAGTGCATAAATTAGCAATATGGGACTGTGGACAGAAATTTTTGACAATGGTCTCCGCAATATATAAGACACAAAACGCTAGAATTATAATAAATGGAGATCTTTCCTCAAATCTTGAGATACAAAAAGGGATAAGGCAGGGCTGTCCACTATCCCCATTACTTTATATATTTGCTGTAGAATTGCTCAATGATGCAGTAAGAAATAATGTGCTGATACATGGTCTAAAGACACAAGGAGAGGAATCTAAACTACTGGCTTTCACAGACGATCTGGTCTTTATATTAGAAAATCCAACAGAATCTTTACCACATTTGCTTAACTTAATACATGAATATGGAAAGGTCGCTGGTTTAAAAATCAATACAAAAAAGACAAAAATTATAACAAAAAATTGCTCAACTGACCAGACAAGGATGATAAATGATATATCAGAGATGGCAATTGTAAAAACAGTTAAATATTTGGGAATAATAATATCTAACAGGAATAGTTTGTTAATAGAAAATAATTACTATAAATTAGTGGATGATACAAAAATCATAACCAAAAATTGCTCAAATGACCAGACAAGGATAATAAAGGATATATCAGAGATGGCAATTGTAAAAACAGTTAAATATTTGGGAATAATAATATCTAACAGGAATAGCTCATTAATAGAAAATAATTACTATAAATTAGTGGATGAGCTTAAGAAGGATCTGTTACGATGGAAAGATATACAATTGTCCCTGAT